GGCTAAGTGCAATTCATATCATTTTTTGGAAAATTCAATTACCAGTTCTTCATCAGCTTACGCGAAATTAGGTGAATACTGCTCTTAAGAAAATCAAAATACTTGAGCATACATTTATTCTATCTCAAATAGGGCACCAAATTATATGATTGGTTGGCTTCTTGTGTATATCACGTGCACGAACAAAAGAGAAATTTATACGATTTTTATCGAGCCTTTAGTTTCATTCCATTGACGTTATGTTCTTCGGTAGCCTCTCACCTAATTGTGAAAAGCAATTGTATGCAAACTTCGTGACATAATATACAATCAAATGTTGGAAGGAATTTAGTCAGCCTATGTCTCCGTAGGTGATTTAAGCACCGATAGTTGAGTTTTCCTATATTTATTAGTAGTATTTATTTTTTATGTGAATGGTTTTTGAGATTATTAGTAATTTTTTTGAAATAACTTAGACATAGATGATAAGACCAAAGTTATGTGGCCTTTCGTTCGGTCGCAGTCCTCCTTAGCTGTATAGTGTTGGTTTGACCTCGTTTTCGCTATTTGGTCTGGGCAACACGGAGACCTTGTGGTAATTACCTACTCCTGCGTCCTCTACCCTCGATCATTCATGATAATTTCCGTCATCACTCCATGGACTTGGTACATTCCCATACACTTCGCCAGCATCGTAGTCTGCCTCGTCAGTGAGAGGCACCATCGTTAGGACAGAGATACAATTTATCAAAGTGGCAAGTTAAGGCAAGTTTAGTTTTCCCACAAAGAAATGATTAGGCCTCACGATGCCATTGAATGTCACTTAACTTTGCCTTCTAAAATTGCATCTCTTCCAAAGTGGGTTAAGGTTTAATCTCTTCTAGAGCTCAGCAGCAGTCCCAAGAGGATTTAGTACAGTGTCGTGAGTATCGTGGTGACACTATCATACAACACACAGGTGCTACACAGCCGCATGTGCCAGTTGGTTACAGGGCAAATGTGACGTTTAAGATAGGCAAAGCTTCTCCTAAATCGCATGTTGTATAGCGGGGTCTGTTTATCTAGGACGAAGTTTGCTTGTTTTTGATTTACGTAGGTTTTGATAGTATTCAGGTGACTTGGCGACTGATAGGTGGGTTTTCCCTATATGATATGGGTTGTTCTTATTCACGTATTGCTTTTCAGCAATTGCTAGGCCAGATTTTCTCTCCTTCATGAGTCAGCTCAGACAAGTTCATTGGTTTCAGCTAAGCGCTGAATCTTTTTATGGGCATATGTTTTGTGCATTCTTGAGAGACTTGACAACTTGATAAATGCCTTCTCATGTATTGAGGCTTTTTGACCTCCTGAATGCTACTCAGTACGTCAACTCACTCATTTCACAGTCTTGCTAATACCTTTGTTCTATCTTCGATACTGTCTGCTTGTCACTTTTTAGCTATTGGTCTGATTATTGGCATCACAGTCGCCTGCCTCGTACCAATTGTCCTGTTCCCGCTCTTCGGATTCCTCATCTTCCGAAATCGGGCCAGACTGAACAAACACCGAGCCGCCTTTTCTGACGCCTCGATCAGGAGTAAGAATGTGGACGACTCAAAGAATGCCGCAAACATTGACAAACCAGGCCTGGACATCAATAAAATCCGTCACTCGCTGCGGAACAAGTTAGTTCAGCATTCAGCTTTTGTACCTTAAATA